GCCCACGGACGCGGGCCGGGCCCCACACGTCCATGTGAAGCGTCTGCAGAGGAGCCTCTGTCGGGGGAAACTGGGAGGAGTGAGGGGCAGCCCGGAGCCGCCCCTCGACACAGGGGACACAGGAAGGTCCGGGTCCCGAAGGAAGGGGAGGGAGAGACCGGGGAAGACCAGAGACAAGGACACGGGAAGCCATGCCCCGAAGACGAGGCAAGGAGGGGTGGCCAAGACGGTGGTGCCACAGGAGAGTCTCCTGAGACAGGCGGCGACACGAGCAGGGGGCAGACTCAGGACCAGACCTGGACGCAGCAGCAAACACCTGACCCGACGCAGCTACCTGGCCAGACGCAGGGACAGGAGGAGACTCAGTGGTCAGGGTGTAGAGACTCGACCCCGGCCGACGCGAAAACGTGGCCAGGTGTCGGCCTGTGCTGGCGTCCGAGCAGTGGGTCACCCGCTAACTCGCAGGAGTAAACTGGTGAACCCCCGCATCCTGCAGGTCAGCACCACTCACCAAGTTCGTCGAGAACGAGGGGAGGTACAGACCAGACAAGGTGCCCGAGGGGGCAGCCGGACACGGGAGGACAGTGGAGAAGTGAGAGAGGACAGGACCCCCAGAGGGGTCAGCCAGGGAGACTGCAACCGGCCGGCCAAGCGGCGTGAGTGTGGTGCGGTCTCGAAAGAAGGAGCGAGAAGCCCCTGAGTCAAGCGTGAAGGTGAGGGAGGCCGAAGCCGACGCAGTACCTGAGAGCGCAGCCTCACCAGTACCTGAGAGTGCAGACGCACTGGCACCTAGAGCAGCAGCAGCAGAAGTACCTAGCGCAGCAGTACCAATGCCCGGGTCGGGCGGGAAACACCGGTAACAGTCACCCTCCTCACTAATAGTCACAGCATACATGGCAGCAAGGATAGCATCAAAGTCAAGATCAAAGATAGCTACGCCAGCCCTAGACAGCTCTCCCCAACGGGGAATCTCACTAGCCTCGGGGAACTGCTGACGCCAAGCGTCCGTCAGGCGGCCAAAGCAGCGCTGGGTGGGGTGGGCACCCCCACACTGCTCACCCGCGCGGTCGCCGGAACGAAGGACGTAGGTGCACGGACCAAAACCCCCACCCCGCTGACGCTGCGTGTACCACTCACGGAGCTGCTGGGGCGGGGGGATGTCCCGCGAACGCTGCTGCTGCTGCTGCTGCTGACGCTGGCCACCACCAGAGCCGCTACGCTGCGGGGCACCACCCCGACCAGCTCCACCCCCTCCGCCACCGCCGCCTCCACCTCCACCACCACCGCTGCCTCCGCTCCCACCGCTGCCGCCACCACCGCCTCCTCCTCCGCTGCTGCCACCGCCACCACCGCCCCCGCCACCACTCCCACCGCCACCCCCACTCCCTCCGCCGCCTCCACCGCCACCTCCACCGCCCCCGCCAGTTCCACCCGCGCCCTTGCCCCCCTTGCCCCTGCCAGGGCGGCGTCTCCCGCTAGGGGCAGACGCCGCGCAGACCGACTCAAGACCAAGCAGGTCGGCAGCAGCAGCAGAGGCAACAGAGGGCAGCAGGGGGGAAGGAGAACACCCCTCAAAGATGGGGGTGCGAGGGTCACCACGAGAGGCTCCTACAGCGACGATGCTCTTCTCCGCCGCCAGGAGGGACTTCTCGAGGAGGTCGACAGTGAGAGTGGTGGGACAGACTGAGAGGAAGTGGTCCCTGACTACGTGAAGGGAGTCAGGGAGGCGTGTGACTATGTAATAGAGAGTGATGTACATGGGGGGGGGGTTCTTGGCGCAGAACTCAGCAGGAAGGGCGGCGCGGTAGCGAGTGTCACTAGTGCGGAGGTGCGTAATGAGGTCAGCGACAGTGGGAAAGGCAGCAAGGTCAGGAAAGAGGTACGGTAGCATGAGGCGGCTCAGGGCAGCAGTGGCAGGGGAAGAGTAGCGCGCAACTACAGCGTCGTACAAGGTCTGAGCACTCTTGTACTGACTAAAGTGCGCGCGCTCAGTGGTAGGCAGGTGGCGACGCACAGCAAGACGTGCAGCAGCATCGCGGGTGGCCCACTGAGAGCGAACAGTGGGGTCAGCATCAGCAGCAGGGGCAGGAGAGGCGCCAGAGGTGAGGTCAAAGAGGGAAAGACCGTCCGCCCTATCGCACTGTAAGAACAGCTGCAGGTCGTCGACCCAGACCTCAAAGTCAATGGCTCGACCCTCAGCGTCAAAAGCGAGGACACTAGGGGTAGCCATGACGACGACAGTGTAGTAGTGCAAGCAGTAGGGGAAGGGCACGCAGTAACAGTGGTGCTGTGCTCACCAGGCAGGGCAGGTCGGGCGGCTCGGCAGTAGGGCGGCCCGGCGGCTGGGCGGCTCGGCGGCTCGGCTGCTGGGCGGCTCGGCTCCCGGGCGGCTCGGCGGCAGGGCGGCTCGGCGGCAGGGCGGCTCGGCGGCTCGGCTCCCGGGCGGCTCGGCGGCAGGGCGGCTCGGCGGCAGGGCGGCTCGGCTCCCGGGCGGCTCGGCTGCTGGGCGGCTCGGCGGCAGGGCGGCTCGGCGGTCGTAGGCGGCGGGGCCGGTGAGGATAGGCGGCGGGGCCGGTACCGTAGGCGGCGGGGCCGCGAAGTGGGGCGGCGGGGCCGCGTAGGTGAGGGCGGCGGGGCCGCGAAGTGAGGGCGGCGGGGCCGCGACGTGAGGGCGGCGGGGCCGCGAAGGTGAGGGCGGCGGGGCCGCGTAGGCAAGGGCGGCGAGGCCGCGACGTGAGGGCGGCGGGGCCGCGACGTGAGGGCGGCGGGGCCGCGTAGGTGAGGGCGGGGGGGGCCGCGTAGGCAAGGGCGGTGGGGCCGCGACGTGAGGGCGGCGGGGCCGCGACGTGAGGGCGGCGGGGCCGCGACTTATGGGCGGCGGGGCCGCGTAGGTGAGGGCGGCGGGGCCGCGACGTGAGGGCGGCGGGGCCGCGACGTGAGGGCGGCGGGGCCGCGTAGGCAAGGGCGACGGGGCCGCGACGTGAGGGCGGCGGGGCCGCGACGTGAGGGCGGCGGGGCCGCGACGTGAGGGCGGCGGGGCCGCGACTTAAGGGGGGCGGGGCCGCGTAGGTGAGGGCGGCGGGGCCGCGACGTGAGGGCGGCTGGGCCGCGACGTAAGGGCGGCGGGCTCGCGTAGGTTAGGGCGGCGCAACGGGCCGCTAGGGGCGACACGGAGGGTCGCTAAAAAAAAAGGAAAGCGCGCCTCGGGGCGCGCTTCGGTGGGCCCTAGAAACAGTCCCTAGGAGGGGACCTGCTCTGATTCCATGTGAAAAGGAGAACGCGAATGAATGAACTATGAATGAAGTGAGTACATATAGGAAACCCTAATTGGGTTGTACCCCTTATGGGATACCCCACTATAGCCTACACAACAGCATAAGCTATATAATGTTCTGACAAATCATAGCAGCATTAAAGAACACCTCCACACCGAATAACTATGCGGAAACAGTGACAAACTTGTCACTCGGGTTAAATGGGGGCGAGTTTGTCGGCTTGATTTTCACAAAAGCCGTTGCTGCCATCGGGGCCATTGGCATTGCTGCTGGCGTCGCCGTCGTCGTCGCTGCTGCACGTGGTGGTACTGCACGCGATTGTTGTGGCGACTGTTCCTGCTGCGCCTGCCTCGCTTCGTCCGCATCCATCTCGCCTTCCAGCTCGCTCCAGACCCGCTCATCTGGTGTAGTGCTGCTACTTGCGTCGTCCACGACAGGCGACTCCTGGCGCGCTTCACCACGCGCCTGGTGTAGTTCGGCGTTTTCCTTCCGTAGACGCTCCATCTCTGCAGTCATACCCTGCAAGTTGGCCTGCATCGCACGGAACTGTTGCATGAACTCGTTGAACTCGGCCTGCTCCATGTGCCTCAGGCTTCGTCGAACGGGCAGGGGGTGGCTCGCGATTTTTCTGACTTCGGTGAAGGCGTTAATGCTATCGTAGTCGGAGTGGAATAATCAGATCTATTCCACGGGCCGACCGCTTAACAGCCCACCAAGTCTATCGCTCCCCTTCTACAAACTACCCCGGAAACGCGAGGGTAACCTAGGACTTTAGGCTCTGATACCAAGTGTTATAAGTTGTGAAAGGAAAGAGTGCGCAGAACTCAATAATGCGGAAGTGATTACAACGTCTGAATGAACAACGAGGCCTAGGCACAATATAGCAAGGCTAGCTAGGCCGAGGTCGCGGGGTCGCGAGATGGTTGGGTGCAGGTTCGGGGTTGGAAAACCCGAAAGCGACGCGGTGGTGGCTCGGAAGGCGAGGTCGGCGGGCCGAGCCTGGTTTTCCGAAAGTCGGGGTTGTACGCGTACAGTGTGACCCAGTAAGGAATCCGGAAAATTCCTTACACGGAAACTCGCACAATTTGTTTCGCTTATTGCTTTTAGTGCCACTGCCAGCCGTGTGCTGACGTGTTTCGCACCATCCCCACGCAAGCACATGACATCCAGCCCGGGCATGTGCACACCTACACCTCGCACCATCACGTGACGCGACAGCACAAATGTCTGCGCTGTTGAAATTCGAACGACTCCTTCCTTTCGCGACAGGTAGTAATGGCATCGCATCGCATCGCAGGCATCCACACGACAGACCCGCTTCGCTTCCTTGGAGCGGCGCGAGCTTCTCTCGCCGCCAGAGCCTCCAATCGCTGCTGCTGCTAGTACGAGTAAGCGCTGAGCTGCGCTCCCTCCCTCGTCCTGCCTTGGACTCGTTTCTTTGCCCTGCGCGATGTGTGAAGACAGTAGGTTGGGTGCGTTCAAGACGAGAATAGTAGCCATCCCGCGGCCAGATGCGTTCGACGGCGTTCGCTTGTTTCTTGGGCACGCGAAAGGTCCAGTGATATCAGGTTGGGTGATAGCCAGAGGTAGTGCAGCAGATTCGGGGACTTTCAAGAGGTTGTGCGAGCGACTACTAGTGCGACGAGCGGAGTAGTGCGGCGAGCGACTAGAGCGACGAGCAAGTCTTGCGACGAACGATTAGTGCGACTAGCGGTTGAGGCCGAAATGGCAGCAGCCGCTTCAGTCTGCTTCAGTAACAGCAGCAGCGGCGGTGGCGGCGGAGGCGGCGGAGGCGGCGAACACAAGGAGAAAGACACGTGGACCTCTCGTCGCAGCGCGTTCAGGCTACCATTTCTGAGCGCGATTCCCGACTCGCCCCTTGACCCCTCCTCCCTTCTCTCCTCCCCCGCCGTCACCTCCCCCTCCGCCTCTACCGCCGCCACTGCCGCCGCCGGTGCCGCTGAGGTCATAGCGGAGAGCCTTTCATCCGCGTCCTTCATTCGTCGGCGCGCGCATCAAGAGGCTTTCGCGCATGGGGCGGGACAAGATATTGGTGGTTATAACGCGCGGGAGAAGGCTGATAGTGGCGGCGGTGACTATAACGCGCGGCAGAAGCATCTTGACGCGTACACAGCGGACGACGACGAGGCGACTGTGCGACGTCGCCTGGCCGCCGAGGGGCTGGAGTTGCGCGACCTGGTGCCACGTGGACGAATGAGCGCGTGGCACGTGGCCATCGTGTTCGTCTATCACATGCTGCCGTACACGCCCCTCCCCTGCACGCTCGCCATGCTTGCTTGCTTCTATGGGTACAGGTGAGTCAACGGGATCAACGGGGGTCATTGGAGTCAACGGGGTCAACGGGGGTCATTGGAGTCAACGGGATCAACGGGGGTCATTGGAGTCAACGGGGTCAACGGGGGTCATCGGAGTCAACGGGATCAACGGGGGTCATTGGAGTCAACGGGATCATTGGAGTCAACGGGGTCAACGGGGGTCAACCGTGGTCATTCGGACATGTCTCTGGTCAAGAAGCTGTTGACAACAGTCCAGTCTTGTCATGTGCAGTTCATAGAGTCAACTCCGCCACTTTCCACTTCTAGTCAGCTCTGCCAGAATCACTCTGGTCGAAGCAGTAAATTTTGGTCAAATCATTCAATTCTGGTCAAACCAGTCAACTTTGATCAAACCAGTAAACTCTAGCCAACTCAGCAAGTGCTGACTCGACACCTTGGCCAATTGCTCATTCCATGGTTCGTTCATGTAAGTCGCTGCTCATTTGGACAATGTCATCTGCTGAGTACGCATATGCATGTGGCGTTTCATCTGTGGTGTGACGTGGCAGGGCGTACGGTTGGCAGGGCGCAGTGGCAGTGGTGCTGCTGCTCCTCTTCCTCCGCCTCATCCCGCTCTATTACAACTCCGCCTGGCGCAGGAAACTCACTGTAAGCAGTTTCAATGTTTGCCATAACCACTGCTTTAAAAAGCACAAGTCAAGCATATATGTGACCAAGTCAAGGGCCTCATCCCTCTTTTCCCCTCCCTCCCTCCACCCCCCTCACTCCTCCCACCATATGCATTGCCCGCACCTCCTCGACTCCCCTCTTCTTCTCCACCTCTCCCCGCACCCCACCCTGCCCCTCAGTTTCTCTATGAGGCAATGGCTCACTACATGACACGTGTGCGAGTCATCGTGCCAGCTCAGCAGGTGCCACGTGGCGGGTACCTGTTCACGGCACACCCGCACGGGCGCATGTTCTACAGCAGCAGCATGCTCACGCAGACCGCGCACCTCTGGAAAGACACCTTCTGTCCCCACGGTGAGTGGTGTTTACTCCCGCCTGCCACACATGCTGGTGCGCCTTGTGTGGCCTTGCGACGCATTGGTAGGCTAGCCGCTGCTCACAGCAGACAGCATGCTCACGCAGACACCACACCTCTGCAAAGACACATTCTGCCGCCACGGTGGGTACTAGTATGTACGCGCGCTCGCCCGCCCGCCCGCCACACATGGTCGCCCCAAGGTAGGCAAAAGGTGCGCCTTTTGCCCCCACGGCAGGCAGGCAGGCCCCCACACATGGCGCTCCAAGGTATTTGAGGGAAGGGGTCATGGAAGGATGGAGCTTCTGTGAGGTTGTGAGATTGTGCTGCGGGATCGCCCCACCCTGTTTGCCCTCAATCTCCTCACCTCACGTCCCTTCACCCCGTCTCCTTGCACACTCACACCAGGCGAGCTGTTCGGAGCGGCCAACAGCACCTTCTTTGAGGTGCCAGTCATCCGCTCCATGCTGTGCCTGGCTGGAACAATCCCATCCCTCACCTTCCCCCCCACCTTATTGCTCTTTCCTCCCACACTCCCTCCTCTCCCCACCAGGCGAGCTGTTCGGGGCGGCCAACAGCACCTTCTTTGAGGTGCCGGTGATTCGCTCCATGCTCTATATGGCTGGTGCCATTCCTGCCAGCCGAGGCAGCATCATTGCCAAGCTCAGGCACGGCGACCATGTGAATAGTCACCCTGCAGTTTGGGAATCTGTGGGTGTAATAGCCCAGACAAGATAACCCAGACCAGATTGCTGTGGGAACTCAGGTGCTGCAATGTAACAAAGTGGCAGTAACATAGTGACGGTCCTGGATCCCTTGCTTCCACCGCACTTCCTCCCTCTCACCGCACATCCCTCATCCTCCCAATCCATGCTCATGTGTGGGCATTCTGTTTAGAGCAGCATCACGCTTTACACTGCAAGCTTGGGCTGGATAGGTTGGATGCTTACTCCTTTCAATGGTGCTCACCTTTCTGTTTCTCCTTTTCTCATTCACCTTACAATTCCGTTCTGCACTTCCATTCGTCACAATGGCGCAGTTGTTCAAGCACGATCCACTGTGGCTGCTCCAGTTCTGGGCTGTGGTGAACCGCTATTGGCGCATTGGCGTCCCGTTTATGAGGGGGGTATGCCACATGCCCATGCCCTTCCGCAGGTATGGCAATGGCTTGTCTAGCTGATGCAAGGAAGTCAATTTTATTTTGTTTTCTGACTTGGTTTGTTTCTCGACATGCAGGGAGCTATTAACTGTGGTTGGGAAGCCTCTATTCGCACGAGATGGAGAGACAGTTGATGAGTTTCACGCTCGATACGTGGATGAAATATCCGCTATCTTCCATAGATTCGTCCAAATATCATCTCGGCCGAAACACAAGCTGTTGATTCGCTAGAAAACTTGACCACCAGTTCGTTGCAGGATGGAATTGTGGGATAAATAATAATTATAAGAAGTGGCAGTGTGTTTTGCAATTAGAAGCATCAGAATTTTATGGACGATGTAAAATATGGAACTAAGCATCAGAACGATGTAAATATGGATCATCCCTGCTTATCAAAATACGGTACGAGGGAGAATCATCACAGCTGTTACCGGAGACATCGAGATCATCGTGTGAATCCCTTGAATCTCTTCCTTTCTTCTCCTCACACCCATTTTCTCCCTTATCTTTCTGCTCGAGACCAGAGTTCGTCTGGCAGGGTTGTTTTTAGGGTTTCACTGCCCTCAGCCACAAAGATTCCAGAGATCACGCGGCTCGTAACGCTGTGTCTGTACCGAATAACGGACAGATTACTAACGATCTAGTATCTTTGCAATCAAATCGCGGTTTGATTAAACGCCATGGCGCCCGTGCGCGAGGCCCACTTCCCCGTGCCAGTGCTCTCCGATAACCCCGACGGCTGGGGTCCCACCACTCTCCCCGAGCAGTTTAAAGACGTCCCGTACGCGCCGTTCAATAAGGGCGACCGCGTCGGCCGCGCGGCGGACTGGACCTCCCAAGGATACCGTACGTCTCGTGCCGCGTGCCGTGCGCCGCGGTCTCACACTTTCGAACCCTAGCTCGCATTCCACTTGGTTTATCCGATCGAATTGGAGATAGTGGAGTTAGTGGCGCCTCAGGTTATAACGTTCAGATTTCTTGCGATAGTCGGGCCGATGCCAGTGGTCAGGTGCTGATCTCATTCAGTTAGGGTTTAGCGAGTTCCGCTGTTTCTGCTACAGTCATCGCCTCTCGAGGTCCCATCTGTCGTTCTATTAGCGTTTATCGGGCGGTCGTTTACCGAGTCCTGATTTCGTTCCTTTCTCTCGCTCCCCTCACTCCTTCGCGAATCCGTCGCTTGATTTTGCCGATCTCGCAGGTCGGTACGACCGCGATCGTCAAGGCGGGGCGGGCGGGGTGAATGCCGCCTTCTCCTTCTTCCAGGACCAGGATGAGGTGGGTGGCCTCCGTTGTCGCGTAGCGCTCATCTCACCTCCCCGCATTTCCCGCCGATTCGAGCTATTGGCTCGCCCATGTTATCAAGCTGCTCGCCGCGTCCCGCCTGCCTCTTATCGACTGCTCAATTCCCTCCTTCGCGTCTCTCCTGCTCCCGTCCATCCAGTCAACACCATTCTTAATCGTCCACGTCACCCCTTTCATCCACGTCATGCGTGCAGGACTCGTTTCAACTGGTGGACACCAAGCCCGTGCAGAAGCCTCGTTACGGCCCCCGCCGCTTCTTCCAGGTTCGCCCGCCTTTTCTCCCCCGCCTCGCTCACTCTCTCCTTCTCAGGTTCTCCTGCCGTCTTCCCTTTCCCACCTCCGTCGCTCTCTCCTCCGCTCCGCCTGAGATCCCATTTATGCCATATCCATATCCGTTTCCATTTTTCCGCCATCCCCCTCCCCCCCCCACTCCCCCACACCCCCTCCCCCCCCTCTCCCCCCTTCCCTCCCCTCCCTCCTTTCAACCTCCCTCTCTTCTCTCGCCCCTCGGTCCAATACCTCCATTTATTTCCAATCCAGTTCTTCTCACTCGCCACGTTTGTTATCTCCGTTTCCCATCTCACTTATTCTTCGTTCCCTCGCTTGCCGCTTCGTTTCTCTTCATTCTCCGTTCCTCGCCGCCCCCCAACTGCTGCGCACCCCTCCGCGTTCCGCCGTTCCCCCAGAATCGGTTCCAGAACCGGCGCGGGGAGGAGGGGAAGCGCGACGGGCGCGACAGCGGCGCGGGCGCGGACAGGGAGCGGCAGCGGCAGCAGCGGATGCAGCAGCAGAAGCGCGGGCAGTGGAACCCGTACTACGACCGCAACGCGCAGCGCGCCACGTACAACAGCTCCGTGGACATCCGCCCCGAGTGGGTCGTGCTCGAGCAGATCCCGCTCTCCGCTCTCTCGAAGCTGTCTTTCAACGCTGGAGAGCCGCAGGACGTGTGAGTTGGAGAGGTGGAGGCGAGGCGGGGAGGGCGGCGAGGGGGAGAGGGAGGGAGAGGGAGGGAGGGAGGGAGGTAGAGAGTGGGAGGGGGAGGGAGGTAGAGAGAGAGAGAGAGGGGGAGGGAGGGAGGGAGGCTGGGAGGGAGGGAGGGAGGGTGAGAGGGATAGAGGGAGGGAGGGAGAGAGAGAGATGGTGAGGGAGAGAGTGTGAGAATGAGGTATATACCATTTTGTTCGCCCTACCGTTGCAGTTCTCTCCCTTCAATCCTCACCCGCTCCCCTCCCCTTTTCTGCTCCCTTCCACCCCTCCCTCCCCATCCCTCGCCTCCCCTACGCCTCGCCCCTGTGGGCCATCCCCCCCTCCCGGCACATCCCCCCTTCCACGGCGCATCGTCCCTTGCGCCCTCTGTGCAGTACGACGTGCGGCGCGCTGGAGTATTACGACAAGATGTTTGACCGCGTCAACCCCAAGGTATGCCCGTTGGCCGAGATTGCATTGTTTGTGTTGCATAAATAACCGTGTTCCTAGTGGATGATAGTGAGAGCGCGGGGGCTGCCTGAAGTAACCATGTGCCTTTGGCTCCCCTGCACATCCCCCTCTTCCTCTCCGTCCCCCCCTTCCCTCTTCCCTCTCCCCCCCCCATCCCCCTCAACGCCAGTCGGTGCATCCACTAGAGAGGTGTGAGACGAGGCAGTTCCACAAGGTGACCACCAGCAAAGACCCCGTGGTGAAGCGCCTCGCGGCGGATGGCGGAGACGGTTGTGCTCATGCCCCGTGTTTAACTCCTCCTTTCGGCCCTTGTCTGCTGCTCCATCGCCCTTCCCCCTCCCCCCCATGCAGTCGGAACGTCCACTAGAGAGGTGTGAGACGAGGCAGTTCCACAAGGTGACGACGAGCGACGACCCCGTGGTGAAGCGGCTGGCAGCGGAGGGCGGAGACGCGCCCGCAGTCTTTGCGACGGACGCCATCCTCTCCACGCTCATGTGCGCGCCTCGCTCCGTGTACTCGTGGGACGTGGTGGTGCACAAAAGCGGTGGCAAACTCTTCTTTGACCAGCGGGACTCCTCGTTCGATTTGCTGACGGTGAGTGCTGATGGGAGTGCCCTGTGTGGTATTGCTCTCCCCGCTCCGTGTACTCGTGGGACGTGGTCGTGCATAAGAGCGGCGGGAAGCTCTTTTTCGACCAGCGGGATTCTTCCTTCGATCTGCTTACGGTGAGTGCGGTGTGGTAGTGTGGCATTTGTGCGCATGCTTGCTGCTGAGGACAGAGGTCAGCACCAGCATCCTTAGCAAGCCTTCCCCGCCCTTTGCCTCCCTGCCCCGCTCCCCTTTTCCACGCGCCCCTTGCTGGTGAACGAGACCGTGATGGGCATCGAGCCGGCACCAGAGGACAGCAGCATCAACAGCATCCCCCGTCCAACCCCTCGTCTTTCTCTTACCCGTCCTTCCTTTCCTGCCTTCGCTTCCGCTCCCTTTCCCACTCGCCCTCCCAGGTGAACGAGACGGCAACGGGCATAGAGCCGGCAGCAGAGGACAGCATCAACGGCATCGCGTCGCTCAGCCAGGAGGCCACGTTTATCAACCAGAACTTCTCGCAGCAGATCGTCAACAAGGTTAGGTTAACGCACTGGGCACAAGGTGGGGTGAGTGGGTTCACTGAGTGTCAACTGGGTGCGCTGAAGCCTGGTTACGGGCACGTGGTGGGCTCAGCCAGCCAGGAGGCCACGTTTATCAACCAGAACTTGTGGCAGCAGATCGTCAACAAGGTGGATGCAGTGGGGTCAGCACCAGGTGAGGTCGATGGGGACGGTGGGTGCCGTGAATGCCTGGTCAAGGAGATTACCTCTCTAATTCCATGCGAGCCAGATTTGTAATTTTAGGTTTGAGAAACGGATCGTCACACTTGTGTGCCCGCCTTCCCTGCTGTCCCATCTCTCCCGCGTGTCTGTGTCTGTGTGTGCATGTGCGTGTGTGCGTGAGTGCGTGTGTGCGTGGGAGCAGAAGGGAGCCAAGAGGCAGTTCGCGGAGGCGAATCCGTTCGCGGCGGAGGGCGAGGAGGTGGCATCTGTGGCGTACCGTTACCGCAAGTGGATGCTGGACGGGGTGAGTTTATGAGTGATTGAGTGGGGTGAGTGGGTGTTGGGAGGAGTGAGCGGTTACACACTGAGTCGTGGGGGGCGAGTTGAGGTGGGTGGGATGGAGGGCGAGTTGAGGTGGGTGGGATGGAGGGCGAGGAGGTGGCATCTGTGGCGTACTGTTACCGCAAGTGGATGCTGGACGGGGTGAGTGGGGGTTCGCCCTCTGCCTCTCCGTCCCTTACCCTCTCCAGGTCATGCCATTGGTGGTGCGGTGTGAGCTAGACGCGGTGGTGGACATGAGGGGGCAGGAGATGCTTTAGTTGCACCACACACGCACACACATATGCACACACACACGCACACACACATGCACACACACATGCACACATATATGCATATTCCTTGCCTCTCACACCCCCCTGTCCCACCTTCATCCAAATCTACCCCCCCCCAAGCAACCTAACCAAAGTCGCCTGGACTTGGGTTGGGATTCTTGGTGGGGGTGGATTCGGATTGGGGTGGGTAGCCTGGACTCCACTCCCGTGAGGACATGCCATGGGTGGTGCGGTGCAAGCTACATGCACTGGTGGATACGTGGGGAGATGCTGTAGTTGCACCACACATCCACGCACATATGCACACACATGCGCTTACTCCCTGCCTTTCACAACCCCCTTTCCTCCAGGACATGCCATTGGTGGTGCGCTGCGAGCTAGATGCGGTGGTGGACATGAGGGGGCAGGAGATGCTCGCCACAGTGAACGCGCTCAACGAGTTTGACCCCAAAGTCACGGGCGTCGACTGGCGTGCCAAGATCGACAACCAGCGCGGCGCGGTGAGTCAACTCTCTCTCCCATTCACGGCCAAGTCAAGTCCTGTGGTTCTCAGGTGCTCGTTCGTTCTGCCTGCTGATCATAGAAGCTTGTCGTGGCTGTGAAGCTATGCCCATTGTGTGCCCCTATGGCTGTGCTGGCTTGCCTATTCTGTGCATGCCCCCAATGGCTGTGCTGCTATGCCCTCCCGACGCTGCTGCTGCTAATGATAGGAGCACCAGTTCACCACTCGGTTTACGGTGACTTTTGAGCAGGCAGCTCGTTGCCACTATGTCTGACGGTGTGTCCTTTCCCCTCCCAGGTGCTGGCAACAAGAGCAACTAGATGGCCAAGGGGACGGCGCAAGGTGACTCTTGGTTCGACTCAAGCGCTGCTTCATGCGCCCATGCGTGTGTGCCCCCCCCCTCCTCCCCTCTGCCTCAGGTGCTGGCAACGGAGCTGAAGAACAACAGCAACAAGCTCGCCAAGTGGACGGCACAAGCGCTGCTCGCAGGGGCCGATCTGGTGCGCTTGGCAGAGCGGGGGGAGTGCAGTGGGCGTTGAGCAGGGGAGAGTTCGATCGAGGGAAGGGTGGCGTGTGGGGAAGCGGGAATGGGTTATGGGGACTCTGGTTCCTTTGTCTCTCTCTCCTCGCAATTACTGCTTTGGTGCTGCCTCTGCCCACGCTCCTCGCCTGCCGCCTTTGCCGATGAAGCTGTGGGTACATGTTGCCAGTGTAACCCAGGCAAGCTAACTGCACTACATCCCGTATTCTCCCTCCCCCCACACCTCCCTTTCCCCCGCCCTCCCCCACCCCCTTTCCCCGTTCTCTCCGCTGGGGGGTGCAGATGAAGCTGGGGTACGTGTCGCGAGTGTTCCCCAAGAACAACCTCAAGCACACCATCCTCGCAGTGCAGGTGAGTCAATGCCCGTCAATGCTGGTCAATGCCCGTCAATCCATTGTTCCGTCGCTGTCACCGTTCCCTCTACTCGGACCATGCACTCTCCCCTTGGCTCCCTCACATCACATGCAGTCTCTTTTCACCCTTCTCTACTGCTCCACCCACCACATCTCACCCTTCTTCCTTTCTCTCCCCTCCCTACCCTTTCTCCCCTCGCCTCCCTCCCTCCCCTCGTCCTCTCAGGCGTACAAACCGCGCGAGCTGGCGATGCAGATCACGCTCTCGTCCACCAACATGTGGGGCATCGTCAAGGTGCGTTGTGTGCACGCCACTTGGGGTAATACAGAGCATGTGGGGCATGGGGGGCATGGGGCATATGGGGGGTATGTGGGGCACAGGGGGCATAGGGCACATGGGGTTATGTGGGGCATGGGGGGCATGCGGAACATGGGGGGCATGGGGGGGTGTGCAGGGCATGGGGGGCATGTGGGGCACGTGGGGCATGTGGGGCATGTGGGGCACGTGGGGCATGTGGGGCATGTGGGGCACGTGGGGCATCGTGAAGGGTGTCGATGGGCATGGTCACGCTTTGTCAGCGTATGCGTTGTTGGTGTGCGCGCCTGCACCTGAGTCATGCCCCGCCTCCGTTCCTTAAAGCCCTCCTCCCATCGTTACCACCACCGCATGGCAGATGCATATGCATCATGCCTGCCTCTGCCTTGTCTCACCCATCCCTCCCTGTTTCTCCATGTCTCACCCACATGCCAATCCACGGCAGCACATAGTGGACATGTGTATGGAGCTCGGGGATGGCAAGTACCTCATCGTCTGCATTGTCTCACACATCCCTCCCTCCCTGTTCCTCGTGTGTCGCCCGCACTTCCCACCCCCCCCCCTCCCCACCCCCATCACCACCAACAGCACATAGTGGACATGTGCATGAAGCTCGGGGATGGCAAGTATCTCATCGTAAAGGACCCCAACAAGCCCTTCCTCAGGTAAACCCGCCCTCAGTTGAACCTTTTCTAGGAAAACTCTTTCTAGCTTGTTTTCTGGTAATCGTCAGTTGAGGTTAGCCTGATGGGCTCTAGCTACAACTGCTGCCCGCCACTCCCTTCTCCCATGCAGGCTGTACGAGGTGCCATCAGACGCCTTTGACAACGACTATGTGGAGGAGCCGCTCCCTGATGTGTCCATTCACACTCACCGCACTTTGGCTTCTCTCCTCTCTCTCCTCTCCCGCCACTCCCTTCCCTTGTGCAGGCTGTACGAGGTGCCATCAGACGATTTGACAACGACTATGTGGAAGAGCCCCTCCCTGATGTGTCAACCCGTGGAGGAGCCCTTCCCTGATGTGTCCATTCACTACACTCCCCGCGCTTCTGCTTCCCCACTCTCTCTCCTCTCCCGCCCCTCCCTTGCCCTCTACCTCTCCCCACCATGCAGGCTGTACGAGGTGCCATCAGACGCCTTTGACAACGACTATCTGGAGGAGCCCCTTGCCGATGTGCTGATTCAATACACTCACCGCGCTTCTGCTTCCCCCTCCCTCTCCTCTCCCGCCACTCTGTTGCACCCGCCCACTTACCCCTGCGAGCAGGCTGTACGAGGTGCCATCAGACGCATTTGACAACGACTATGTGGAGGAGCCCCTTGCCGAGGTAAGCCCTCCCCTTGGTTGGTCGACACAGCCGCGAGCAGAGGAAGCAACGTGGGAGGCAGTCCTGGGCTGCTTTGCTGCTGTGGATGCAGCAGGCACTGTATCCTCCTCGCCTCACACTCACAGCCCCCTGGCTTGCGAGTTCCCTGTGGCACGCATCCCATTACAGTGGCTCCTTGTCATTCCCCCACTCTCTGTACCATGCTGATCCATCCTGCCTCTTGCCATAGTGTGCGTCTCATGTTTCCGCGCTCCCCTCCCCTCTGGATGCCCTCGTGATGCTGGTGCGGTGTGCAGGAGGATCAGGCCCCTCCTCCCCCAGACGCAGCTGATGGTGACGCAGAGGCAGCAGCAGCAACTGATTCCACAGCTGCTGCGTGATGCCGTTCTGGCGTCTAGGGTTTGCTTTGCTCTGTGCCGTTAGAGCGTTTTGACTGGTCAGTGGTCACGCAATTTTGTCAGGCTCACCCTGCCGCTGTGCTGGCCTCAGTGAAATAGGATGTGTTGCATTGCTGGCTATTGCACTGTGTTCCCACATTCAGTTGTGCAAGAATATGGAACCAAAACATTTGCAAATCCTAACCAGGTGAAAACCCACAGGATTATGTGAGGCAGGCAACAATGAAACTCACATGCTTTAGACTCAAAACCCAGAATTGCTGTTGCACGGGTAACCTCTGCTGCAACATCATGGAATGACACACCTAGGCAAGGCACAACCACTTCCACAACACTGCAAGCCTGCCAGGCAAGGCAAGCCCCTCGCCTAATGCATATGCCTCGCCAATCACCCAAGGCAGCTGCATGACCAGCACTGGTGTCCAAGCAGAATGAATCCCCCCAATTCTCTTCCAACCTGTCCACCAGAGTCAGACCATACATGGCCGCTGCACATGTGGCAGCATTGTCGCCTCCTCCCCTCTTTTCCACCTCCTCCCCTTCTCCTTCCGTCCTCTCCTCCTCCTCCCCTTCCCCTCCTCCCATCGCATCAAGCCCGCCCCATGGACTGAAACCACCTCTGCACATACCCGTTGGGCGTCAGCAGCATCGGCACATACCGCTGCACGTGCCGCAGCACCGTCGCCTCCTCCCCCCCTCCTCCCTTTCTCCCGTCCCTCTTCACGCCCGTCCAATGGACTGGAACCATCGCTGCACATACCCAATGGGCGTCAGCAGCATCGGCACATACCGCTGCACATGCGGCAGCACAGTCGTCTCCAAATGCCCCCAGATCTGCCGGTGATACCACGCCGATGCTTCCTCCTCCCCTCCCCCTTCCCTCCACTCCTCCCCCTCCCCCGACTCCCACCGCATCAAGCTCTGCCCATACTCTGAAACCATCGCTGCACATACCCAATGGGCGTCAGCAGCATCGGCACGTACCGCTGCACATGCGGCAGCACAGTCGTCTCCAAATGCCCCCAGATCTGCCGGTGATACCACGCCGATGCCGGCGCGTGAAACCGCATCTTGAGCAGCTGCCAGTACAGAAACACCTGGAAGAAACTGCGCTGCGGAGTCAGCAGGTAAAAGGCTAGCAGGGGACCCAGCATGACTTCGGTGTTGGCTGTGAAGAGCTCTACTTGTTGTCGGTTTGCTGCTACCCACTCGCAGGGTTTTGAGAGGTAGGAACGGTAGAGGCTGGCCTGGCTGAAGTTCTGCTGCAGGTGTGTGGTGAGCGGGAGGAGGGAGCGCGCGGCGAGGGGCAGGAGGGCGAGCGCGATGGGGTGCGGGGACGGGAGGAAGACGGAGCAGTGCATGAGTGTGAGGAGGTGGGGTCCGGTTAGGAGGGTTTGCAGCCAGGATTTGAGAGCGGGGAGGGAGAGCGCGGCGGGGCGGCCGTGGCGCTGCAGGATGGAGAGGGCGGACGCGACGAGCCCGCCGAAGAGGGCGAAGCGGAAGGCGCGCACGAGCAGCGCGCGCGGGCACAGGGGGAAGAGCGCCACGAGCGCCATCGCCACCACCCACGCGTGCGCCACGAAGGTGTACGTCTGCAGGCCCATGCGCGCGTTACCCCCCGCGTTGCTGCCAGTGTTACCGCCGGTTCTGCCGCTGCTGCCCCCCGTGCCGCCGCTGCCAGGAGCACCGCTGCCCCCCGTGCCTGCTCCCGAGGCTCGGCCCGAGGCTGTGGGTCGGGGCGCAGTGGAAGCGGAGGAGGGCGCGGCATAGGCGGACGAGGCGGGGGGAGTGGCGGAGGCGGGGGAAGCGGCGGGCTGCAGAGGGTCGACCTGGAAGTCCGGATCTACGCACTGGCGGAAGAACTTTTGGCGGTAGCGGCGGAGGACGGCGGGGTCGTTGGCTCGATCGGGCGGGATGGTGAGGTTGTTGAAATAGTCGCGCCACGCCGCGCTGCCCTCGAAATCGAACGCCGCAAACGCCGCCTGCTGCTCCGCCGTGTTGCCCATCGCGATTGCGGGTGTGCTGGCGACGCGGCGGGTGTGGATCCGGTGGAGAGGAAGAGCCGCGGGGGACGGGTGATGGAGGAATGGTTGATGCTGCGACGCGGTGGGTGCGCTGGCGTCGGGCGACGCGGTGGGTGTGCTGGCTGGTGCACGGGGAATCTACAGAGGCAGACCTCGAAGCCTGGCACGTAAGGGAGAGAGACGAGACGAGATGGACAGGAGGAGCGAATGATCACGGTGAAGCGCGTTTAAGGCACGACGTCAATATGAATTACGGTAGAGAAAGGGGAAACGAAGAGAATCGAATCTGTGGTTTAGCGGATTCTTGCGAAACGAACGATACTGTTGCAGGTCTACATCGCCGTCATAGCTGGCCTTTTAGACGGTGAACGAACCTTACCGATTGCGCGCCGCGAGGACCAAGCCGTTAGCTGCCGTCGATTCAACGGCGTTTCGCCGGCGATCCTAGAGGCTCCGTCGTCTCCGTCAGCGAAAGAGACTACTAACTGTGTATCTATGTTTATGTAATACTAGATCATGCAAGTTTTGTTTTAGCCTGAACATTTGAAGAACGAAGCGCAATATCCAGCGAGCGAGGGGTTCACTGGTAACAAAACACTTCGCCTGGATGTCGCACACTTCGAGTGCCGAAAATGCACAGGACCACTCCACACCACATTGCAAACCCATCTGGCTGGGTCCCCGTACCTAGATCCAGCCAGGATGAAATGTTCACGGGAAGCACGAAGGATAGCACTTCGATCTTAGATTGGCGCACCTGTGCAACAGGGACAGACACCACGCTACTCAAGCCTTGGAGTTTGTTTGCTCGTCGTCGCCGCGCATTAGACATTCCCGAGGGATAGAAATTCGATCATCCAGTCCCAAGGGGACCCGATGAGGCTTTTCGTAACCCTTGGAGTAAATGAAAGCTGCAACGTCATGATCATTCACGTCATGACCCTTGCTGAGAGGAGCTCGCGGCAATCGAAGCTTAGGAGCATCTCTCAAGTGTGTCGATATATTTTGCTTGTTTCGACGAAAGGTATCTGCGCGTGGGGATTTTGTTTTTTCGATCCGTCACTTCGCCGTCACGCACGTCAATTTTTCGCCGTAGTAGGTCGATTGCGTCACTGTCTCCTTCTCCTGAATGTGCTGTTGCCGTCCGTCACCGTCACCGCTGAAGCAAGGCAGTGATAGCCACCAGGGTGATTGTCACTAGCGTGATTGTCATTAGCGTGATTGTGATTAGCGTGATTGTCATTAGCGTGATTGTCATGTGATTGTCATTAGCGTGATTGTCATTAGCGTGATTGTCACCAGCGTGATTGGCACCAGCCTGATTGTCACCATTGTTCCTTATCTGAACCCCTCACACTTCCCGCTTTCCCTCTCTTCTCTGCTGTTCCAGCCCTCGGGTTGCCAGGATGGCTGCTCAGCGAAATTGTCGCGGAGTGAGACAAAGGATATCTACATGGGAGACCCGAATTGGATATAAAGGCAAATCAATCTATCTTGGGAACAGGAGCACTAAAAAAGAAGCTGCCATGCTTTATGACAGGTAAGATTGTTTTTGTTTCCTGGTCATTGTACCTGCATAACGAAACCATCCATAGCAGTGCAGCGCATGGTAGTGTCAGCTTCCGGGAAGCTTCTGGCGTGGTTCACGGCTTATGGACAGCTGCATGTGCTGCTGATGTCAGACCTCTCCAGACGGATCTCCCATTATGGTGATGCCATCAGGTACTCTTTGATACCCCACGCACCCCTCTGTTCCTCTGTGTTCCCACCCAGTACCCACTCTGTTTCCCCATGCCTCCACTGCGTCTGCTGCAGTTCGTGTTGCCACGAGACTCCATGACATGGAATGGCGAGGATGCAGTGTTGCTCTCATGGCAGCACCTTCCCGTTGCTCTCATGGCAGCACCTTCCCGTTGCTCTCATGGCAGCACCTTCCCGTACTCAATAACCAAATTGCTGTTAATAACGTGTTATCCCTCGCCTGCAGGGCGGCGTATAAGCTCCACGGACCCGAAGCTTCGTTAAACATTGGACTCTCAGAGGAAGAAATGAGAGAGCTCGACGCCGAGTCGGAGGAGGGTTTTTTGACCTCCATTCGCAACAAGTTGCGTCGCTACGGATCATCTCAGTACAAAGGCGTGACGTGGTGCAAGGCAAGGCAGGAGTGGTGGGCATTTATTCGTATGGACAGGCGATTTGTGCACATTGGCTACTTTTCATCGGAAGAAGAGGCAGCCAGTGCCTATGCCGTGGCTGAAATGAAGAAAGTGATGGAGGAGGGGGAGGAGGAGGAACAGGAGGAGGAGGAACAGGAGGAGGAGGAGAAGGAAGAGGAGGAGGAGGAGAAGGAAGAGGAGAAGGAGGAGGAGAAGGAAGAGGAGGAGGAGGAGAAGGAAGAGGAGAAGGAGGAGGATGTGCTGGAAGTGTTGGAGGAGGAGCAGCAGGAGGAGGAGGATGAGGAGGAGCAGCAGGAGGAGGATGACGATGTAGTGGAAGTGTTGGAGGAGGAGGAGCAGGAGGAGGAGGATGAGGAGGAGGAGGAGCAGCAGGAGGAGAAGGAGCAGGAGGAGGAGGATGAGAAGAAGCAGGAAGAGGAGGAGCAGCAGAAGGATGATGAGGAAGTGGTGGAAGTGTTGGAGGGGGAGGAGCGGGAGGAGGAGGATGAGGAGGAGAAGTAGCAGGAGGAGGAGCACCAGGAGGAGGATGAGGAGGAGAAGAAGCAGGAAGAGGAGGAGCAGCATGAGGAGGATGAGGAAGTGGTGGAGGGCGTAGTGGTTAAGGAAGAGGATAAGGATGAGGAGGAAGAGGAGCAGGAGGAGGAGGAGGAAGAAACAGTGGTGTAAGTGGAGGAGTGGGTAGCAGTGTTTAAGGAGGAGGAGGAGGAGGAGGAGGAGGAGGAGGAGGAGGAGGAGGAGGAGGAGGTGGAGGAGGAGGAGGAGGAGGAGGAGGAGGAGGAGGAGGAGGAGGAGGAGGAGGAGGAGGAGGTGGAGGAGGAGGAGGAGGAGGAGGAGGAGGAGGAGGAGGAGGAGGAGGAGGAGGAGGAGGAGGAGGAGGAGGAGGAGGAGGAGAAAGTAGTGGAAGTGGTGGAGGGCGTAGTGGTTAAGGAAGAGGAGGAACAGGAGGAGGAGGAGGAGAAGGAAGAGAAGGAGGAGGAGGAGGTGGAGGAAGTGGTGGAAGTGGAGGGCGTAGTGGTTAAGGAAGAGGAGGAGCAGGAGGAGGAGGAGGAATTAACAGTGGTGCAAGTGATGGAGTGGGTAGTGGTTAAGGAGATGAGGAAGAGGTGATGGAGGTACCATCAGCCCCCGGATAGTAGCGCCCCTGGGGGTATAAAAAAACACTGTTTTTTAGGGGGTGTGCTTATAATCGAGGAAATTGATAAGCGCCGGCGTTTATAAAAAGGCAGAAATGAAATGTATTGTCTTAACATGAAATTGAAGCTTTTTCAAAAGGGGGTTCAATCCACATCTAGAACGTTCGTAACCGTGCATGAAAAGCGCGTCAAATGGCCAACAAGGCGTGGAATCACGCCCATCACGCCTTGCTAGCCTGGCCAGATTCATCGAACATGATTCTGGCCCATGCCAGCGCACACGTAGTTTAGGGTGCGACTGCCCAATCAGGGTCGCATGCCGTGCCAGGCACGACTCTGTACAACCACGCAATTGGCAGAAGCGGCAAGATTCCACTCCACCGAGGCATTGACCTCACCACCTCAGCTCCTCTGCGGGAGGACCTTGGCAGTTTTCCCCCTTTCCCTGCAGAGGAACCCGGGCCGCGAAGTTGGAGGGGTCTCGGGCGAGGGTTTCAAACGAGGCTCATTCTCTTCGTTTTTTTCAGTTTTCTTGTTTTCCCTCGGCCTGCCTAGGCCATGGCGGGCCTTCCAGGCACTCACTTCCTCTTTAGCCGCGGACCTGCTGTTGGCAACACTCACGATTACTCTCAGTGGCAGAGTCGCCCAGCGCCTCCTGCTCCTCCAGCGCCTCCTGCTCCTCCTGCTCCTCCTGCGCCTCTTGCTCCTCCAGCGCCTCCTGCTCCTCCTGCTCCTCCTGCGCCTCTTGCTCCTCCAGCGCCTCCTACTCCTCCCGCTCCGCCTATCGTCGTCATCAACGGTCAGCCCGTTCTGCAGCTCCTCCCTCGCGGTTACTCAGCTTTCGACGCGTACATTTCCGAGCCCGAGCGCAGCGGCGACGATGAACCCAGCCCCGGTCTGTCGCCACGCTGGGGAGACGCGGAAGACTGCCCGTGCAACGAATCCGCCACAGGTGCTGAAGACGATGTTGAGTGGTGGGGGGCCGACGGTCTTCCCGAGGATTTGCCTGTCCCTAGTTCCCCCCCGCCGAATAAGAAACGGCCCCACCCCTCCAAACAGAATCGTGATGCCCGCCCCCCGTCCCCCAGGAGCAAGCCTTCAACGCACAAGTGCAACTCCTACACTTCCCAGAAGAAGCTGCAGTGGATTGCAAAGTTGGAGTCCGGAGCTGTGAGTGTGCGGAGAATGTCCCGCGACACTGGTATCTCCCGAAAGTCCCTGTCAGAGTAGAAGCCGCGGAAGGGTGAGCTGGAAGGCGCGCATGGGGCTCGCAAGCGCCTTCACGGGCGTGGTCGGGCGTCGTGGTACCACGACATGGAGATCGAGGTGTACTCACGTGTTCTTGCCCACCAGAAAAAGTGTCTCGCCGTGTCTGTCGGCCGACTGCAGAAGTGGTCACACGAGGTGATGAAGATCCTGCATCCTGAGGTAACGTGGGCTGGATCTTAGAGGTGGACTGAGCGTTTTCGACGACGCTAGAACCTCATTACCCGAGCGAAGACCAGAATCAGCCAGAAGCTGTCGTCTGGTGAGTCGGTGTTTATGCTGTCGCTCTCGTTTATGGCTGCTTACGACCTTCGAAATTCTAATTCTCTTCTTTTGTTTGTCTCTCCCACCCTTCTCTTGCAGAGTGTGAGACACACTCCCGCCGACAGTACGGCATCGACAACCGCTGGATTATTAATGCCGATCAAACGCCACTCTTGCTCGAGATGCCAGTTGAACGTACGGTCGAGGAGGTGGGGATCCGCTCCGTGCCCATCCGCAGTGGCGGCTATCAAAAAGAACGCGTGACGGTGATGCTTGCCTGCACCGCCAGCGGCGAGAAGCTCAAGCCTTGGGTATTCTTTAAGTGCAAGACAATTCCTAAGGGGAATTTCCCCTCCGGTAAGCCGAGCAGCTTGTGCAATGACGGTGTCATTTGCTGGTTGCTGTTGTGTTTCCATGTGTGGCAGGCAACATCCGCAAGCCACCTCCAGAGATGCGCTCAAGTGGATCTCCAAGGCCTGGAAGGCCGTGCCCAAGGAGTTGATTCAGCGCTCGTTTCTCACATGTGGCATCAGCAACGCCCTCGATGGGTCCCAGGACAATCTCTGCATGCAGCACCGGCGGGACGCCGTCAAGGGTGAAGTAGAACTTGACGACGAGATTGCATAAGATGGATTCTGCTGCAACAACATACAGGAGCCAGAGTCGGACAGGGAGGCCGACCAAGATGGCTCCGCCACTGTTGATGGTGATGCATAGGATGTGTAGGAAGAATAGAAATTAGAGAAGGTATGTGAATGTTGCGGGAAACTATTAGTAGGATTTAGTAGTTGTATTGAAAAAATATTATGTTGTAGTCAAAACAACCTGTAAAAGATAGGATAATAATAGTCGAATTAAAAAAATGGAGGCGCTTATAATGTGTAATAATACAAGGGTGCGCTTACAATCCGTAAGCCTCCAGGGGTGTGCTTATAATCGAGGACCGGATATAAGTGCCATCACCCTATTATAACCGCCGGCGCTTATCCGAGGCCTGCGCTTCTATCCGGGGGCTTACGGTAGTAGAGGTTCAGACTGATTGCAGTTTAGTGCAGTGATGGGAAGATTGACGGTGTCAGAATAACTGTGCAAGGAATAAATGAACAGGGAATGAGTTGTGTACAAGTACTAACCCTAAAGTGTTGTACCCCTTGTAGGCTAACCCACTATAGTCTAGAGAGAACACAAACATATAGTTTGACACTTCCCATAGGCTAAGTGGGAGATAGCAAACACAACGGACTGTCACAAGACCAGTCAAGCAAAAGAACAAAGCAAAGCAAAGCTCAGGGTGGATCTCAAGGACACCACGCAATATGAGCACAAGCAAGCGGCCACAAGGCCAGTTCACATGCAGAGTTATAATAGCAAGGCAGTACACTGATCACAACCTAGCAAGAGTAAACAAGCAGGTATGAAGATATATATCAGTGTACAACAAGAGCAAGTCAAACAACCAGCAGGTGAGGCAGAGGGGGCATAAGCCCAAGAGAAGTGCAGAAACGCTGATGATCACCAGACCCAAAGGCCTTGGTGAACACATCAGCAGTGTTGGCCCGCGAGGCCACGTAGGAAAGGCGGATCTGACGACACTGCTGCAGCTCACAGCGAAGAGCAATGTGCTTCGTTCTGTGCTCCAGTCTATGCTCGTGACACAAGGCAAGCATTGTCTTGTTGTCGACGTACAGAACTGGAGGAGAACGAGGCCGCTCCCCCAAGTCGGTCAGCAGGTGTCAGCCAGCGTAGCTCTTGTGCAGCCATGGCCCCAGCGTAGATCTCGGCCTCACAGCTGGAACTAAGCACAGAAGAAGAACGACTGGATCTCCACGAGACAGAATCAGAGCCAAGACTGAAGGTGTAACCCTGTGACGAACGCTGAATCGCCTGGTCGTCGGCCCAAGAAGCGTCGGAGTGTCCTGTGAATACCACTGAACCCTGTCCTCCAAGCACGAGCCCCATACCCGATGTACTGCACAGGTAACGCAGTACCCTCTTCGTAGCATCCCAGTGCACCATTCGGTGTCTACCGGGAGCCACGTATCGAGCCAGAAGGCTGAGAGGGTACGCGAGGTCAGGTCGTGTGCACGTCATCTGGTACATGAGGCAACCCACAAGCTCTGGGTACGGACCACTCGGCTCTACGGACTCTTCCAAAGGTGGAGCTGAGAGCGAGTGGTCGGTAGAAAGAGGAGTGGGCTGTGGCGAGAAGAAATGGAAGCCGAAGCGCTGAAGGACCTGGTGCACCATGTGTGACTGAGTCAGGGTGATGATGCACCGTGCTGTCCCGGGTGATTTGCAAGCCAAGATAGCTACGCAGCTCACCCAGGTCAGTGCAGGTGTGTCTCTCCTGCAGCTCCGCCTTCACTAGGGCCAGCGCCTCAGTGTCAGCAGTAGCAAAAACCAAGTCGTCGACGTACACTAGAACGTAGAACGGCGACAGGGTAGTGTCGGTGCGTAGAAACAGCGACGGGTCAGCAGAGGAAGGAGCAAACCCAAGATCCGCAAGTGTAGTCCTCAGTGTGTCGTGCCACTCTCGGGGCGCCTGGCGGAGACCGTAGACTGGCCGCCAGAGGCTCCACTGGGTACCCGCAGGAAACGACCTAGTGAAGCCGGGTGGGTGGCGCAGCCAGATCTCCTCGTGAAGGCTGCCCTGCAGGAAAGCTGTGGAGAAGTCAAGGGAGTGCAGCTCGTAGTCATGCTGTGCTGCAACATGCAGCAGCACCCGAAGAGTAGTCATCTTCGGGGTGGGGGAGAAGGTCTGGAAGAAGTCGACCCCATGTCGCTAACTGAAGCCTCGAGCAACGTAACGCGCCTTGAAGGCGGGCGGAGAACCCGGCGGCCGCTTCACTCTGAAAATCAACATGCCATCGACTATGTTAGCCCCAGGAGGATGAACCTCGTCGACGTAGGTGCCTGTGGACTTCCAGGAAGCCATCTCTGCGTCCATGGTTGTCTGCCACCGAGAGGAACTCACCCGCAATCGCCTCAGCGTAAGAGTGCGGGGTAGGGATGTCAAGTGCATCCGGGTCTCCCTCAGGGCAAAGCAGCATGGATACGAAACAAGGTAAAGCAGTCGTAAGACACTCAAGCTCAAAATGTATGTCCTCAAGTATGTCACTGCCAAGGGCAAGCTCACCCCCGACGGACGGAGGACAGATAGACTCAGACTCAGTGAGAAGACTAGCGACGTAGTCGAGACGACTCCTAGCTGCAAAGTCGACTAGCTCAGTGACTAGGGCAAACACTGCAGTAGACTCAAGGTCAGGGTCAGTGACGACAGTAGCGAGGAGACGAGTGACAGTAGGACTGGCAGCACGAGCAAGGTAAGACTCAGGGTCAGGAACGTACGGAAGAGAGGATGCAGGAGGCTCAGGCTGGACAACATGCTGTGGAACAGAGGAAGGACGAAGTGCCATACCGTGAGTGCCTGGGACAGTAGGAGGACGAGGACGGGCGACACAACGAGCACGAACAGGTGTGGAAGCACGAGTCTCAGGCTCACGACGCTTTAGTCAGGGACTCTGTCACCTCAGTGTGAGGAGCAGGCACAGGCAGCGGGGAGACAAGCAGTAGCTGTGGCTGAGACTGGTCTGTCGGTGGACATAGGAGGGGTAGAAGGAGGCCAGTGGAAGACGGGAGACTAAGAACCTGGCGAAGGACCGAGTCAGGCGGCGGTAGGGACAACTGCGGCTGCGGGTAGAAAAACGGTCTGCGCAGGGCAGTACCAGCAGCTCCAGCACCAGCTGAACCGTACCCTCCACCACCAGGATTGCCTCGCCGAACGATCCACGCACGAATCGCCTACAGCGAGAGCGTCTCAAGTAGGTCAGGCTGTGGTAGCTGTCCAGCTCCAGGACCTCCAGTAGGGTCACCCACAGCTCCACCACCACTAGGACTCGCAGGACCCTTAGAGCCAGCACCCCCAGTCGCAGCACCCCAAGAACCAGCACCCCCTGTCGCAGCACCCCCAGAACCAGCATCCCCAGTCGCAGCACCCCCAGAACCCTCACCCTTTCTCTCAGCACCCCCAGGCTCAGCACCAGCAGTCTCAGCTCCAGAGTCCATAGCAGCAGGCTGCGGAGGCGGCGAAGACGGCTGGGTTGGTGGTGCTAGATTTGGATGGGGCTGGGTTGCTGGGGGTAGATTTGGATGGGGCTGGGTTGCTGGGGGTAGATTTGGATGGGGTTGGGTTGCTGGGGGTAGATTTGGATGGGGCTGGGTTGCTGGGGGTAGATTTGGATGGGGCTGGGTTGCTGGGGGTAGATTTGGATGGGGCTGGGTTGCTGGGGGTAGATTTGGATGGGGCTGGGTTTCTCGAGGTAGATTTGGATGGGGCTGGGTTGCTGGGGGTAGATTTGGATGGGGCTGGGTTGCTCGAGGTAGATTTGGATGGGGCTGGGTTGGTGGGGGTAGATTTGGATGGGGCTTGGTTGCTGGGGGTAGATTTGGATGGGGCTGGGTTGGTGGGGGTAGATTTGGATGGGGCTGGGTTGGTGGGGGTAGATTTTGATGGGGCTGGGATGCTGGGGGTAGATTTGGATGGGGCTGGGTTGCTAGGGGTAGATTTGGATGGGGCTGGGTTGCTGGGGGTAGATTTGGATGGGGCTGGGTTGGTGGGGGTAGATTTGGATGGGGCTGGGTTGGTGGAGGTAGATTTGGATGGGGCTGGGTTGGTGGGGGTAGATCTTGATGGGGCTGGATTGCTGGGGGTAGATTTGGATGGGGCTGGGTTGGTGGGGGTAGATTTGGATGGGGCTGGGTTGCTGGGGGTAGATTTGGATGGGGCTGGGTTGCTGGGGGTAGATTTGGATGGGGCTGGGTTGCTGGGGGTAGATTTGGATGGGGCTGGGTTGCTGGGGGTAGATTTGGATGGGGCTGGGTTGCTGGGGGTAGATTTGGATGGGGCTGGGTTGCGGGGGTAGATTTGGATGGGGCTGGGTTGCTGGGGGTAGATTTGGATGGGGCTGGGTTGCTTTTGGTAGATTTGGATGGGACTGGGTTGCTGGGGGTAGATTTGGATGGGGACTTTGGTTGGTTTGGGCGTTGAGTGTGCTTGATGAATGCCTTGTGTGTGCTTGCTTTGGGGGTTGGGGGGAGAGGAAGGTAAAGGTAAAGCATGGGTGCAATCATGCAGCTCACTTTTCTAGGGGCAGCACCCTTGCGTGGTTTGTGGCTTGTTGTGCGGGAGTGGCTGGGGAACTAGCGCGGTGACGGCAGTTGGTGCTCAAGTAACGAACCTGCACGTTAAAGCACAATAGGCCCCGCTGGAGCCGAGCCGGCCGGCTCTGGTTCGGGAAAGCTCATGCTACGCCAGGGGGTGGATTTTAGTCTTGTGCCAGTTCGCGCTTTTCCGCTTCCACTCTTTGCACCTCAAAATACAACCACTCGAGATGTGCTGTTCCCGAAAGGGGGTGACTGTGTGCTCCTCCTTGTGCTGGCAAGGTGGGACCGATGGCCGTTGGTGACCGATGGCCATCGGTGTGGTAAACATTTTTTCCCGAACGTCGAACCTCCACCTCATCGTGGTGTTCGGGTGAACATCAGGGCAGCAGTCCTGATGGCCAAGAGAGGTTTCGCTGATATTTGTAGGTTGTTCTATGATACCTGATTGACTGGCACTCTTTGAGCCAGGGCCCGTGCTAGCATTTAGGGCACCCTGAGGCCTTAGGGCACTATTATAGAATCTTAAAAAATACCCTGATTTGTCAGGGAAATTTTTCAAAACCATCCTGTATGTTCAGGGCTTCTACAGAAATCAATCATGACCTTTCAGGGCAAAAAAACCTATGTTCAGGGTTCAGAATTTAACACACACCATACCAGACCAAACTCTGCTGAGCAGAGCAGAGCAGAGCAGAGCAGCACAGCACATATAGTTGGAGTTTTACTACTAAAGTAACTCCTACACCTCCTCTTAGCCCTCCTCCTCCTCCTCATCATCATCGCTGCTGCTACTAAACCCACTGTCGTTGCTACTGCTATTGCAATGTTCAGTATCTGCTTCTTGTCCGTCCTCCAACACGTTCCCCCCCCTCCCCGCCGCACTCATTGGCCTGTGCCTCTGCTTCTCCCTTCTCCTAGTAGGCCTCCTCTTCTTGCTGCTGCGCCACAAATCCACAACTTTACCCCATTCCGTGTCATACTCAACCAGGCTCAGGCACATCAGGTCACTGAGCCTGGCATCACAGAGGCTGGTCCTCTGCCAGGACTTAATCACGTTCTGGCGGCTAAAGCCGCGCTCACACTCAACGGTGCTGAGCGGCAGGACAGCCACCGCTGTCCAGAGGCGGACGAGGTTGGGGTAGCTCCGCTCCCAGTCCTTCGTTCGCAGCATGGCCGCCAGGCCGCGTTGAAAAGTGCGCTCGCCTCGAGGACTGCCAGCCAGGACAGGGACGAATGTCCTCAGTTCCCTCTTGGCAGCACGCTTGTCCACACCTGCCACGCATTACATACAGAACAAGGACAGAGTAAGACAGATTCGGGTAATACACAGAGCAGGGACAGAACAAGGCAGATTCGGGTTATACACAGAGCAGGGACAGAATAAGGCATATTCAGGTTATACACAGAGCAGGGACATAACAATGCAGATTCTGGACAAAGGACAGAATGGGTAAGGCGAGGGTAGAAGTGCTTACCCGGGAGAATGTCTGCTCGCTCGCGAGCATGGAACAAGTCGACGAGAGTCTCAAAGTGCTCGAGGCACTCCTCAGCGCGTCTCTCCTTGTCATCAGGGTACGTGTCTGGCATAAAAAGCCTGACACCGTTCAGGCTTTCGAGATCCCCCAGCCTCGACTGGAGATGGCTAAGCGTCGACTTGGCGTGGCGGCGGCAGACGTCGAGGCACGACTACAAGTCATCCGGGGTCTTGCTGTAGCCTGTCAATGCCTCCTCATGCAGCTCGAAGCTATGCTTTCGCGGCCTCCCCTCCTTGTCCACGCCATCCACCGTGACTTTTCGATACTTACTGAGCCTGGCTAGGAAGGTCCCGAGATGTTGTTGTGGGCCGCCACCGAAGTCATCGCCGCACTCGATGTAGCGCGTACGGATGGTGATCAAGGTGCGGCGCACAGTCGACTGCACCGATGTCATGTCGACCTGCCACATGACAAGGTACAGTTTCAACAAGGACGGGGAGAGCAAGGGGAGAAGCAGGGAAGACGGGCAGAGAAGGGAGAGAGGAAAGGGTGAGTCAAGGGGGGAGAAGGGGGAGATGCAGGGCAAGGAGGCTACGTTTGCATGCAACCTCAGGTTCGGTGCAAAAGGCAAGGCTCCAGTGCGCACTGATTGCTAGCAGCACAAGATATATCTCCCCAGTTGTTTTAGAGACAAGGCCGGGGAGGGAAGGCCGGGGAGGGAAGGCCGGGGAGGGAAGGTCGGGGAGGGAAGGCCGGGGAGGGAAGGCCGGGGAGGGAAGGCCGGGGAGGGAAGGCCGGGAAGGGAAGGCCGGGGAGGGAAGGCCGGGGAGGGAAGGCCGGGGAGGGAAGGCTGGGGAGGGAAGGCCGGGGCAACTCACCTCCCGCTTCTGAAACTCCAGGTTGAGGTTGTTGAGGATGATGAGCATGTCAGTGAGGTAATAGAGATACACATTGAACTTCACAGAAGTCACAATGGGGTAGAAGTCGTCATCCCACTCCCACATGAGGACGATGACGGCAGGGAGCACACGCACCAAGCGCGTGATGGCATCGCCTCGGCTCAGCCAACGAACTGCGTGAATTCCCTGCAGTTCAAGGTTCGTCTGACAGAACACCTCCTGCAGCTCTTTGAACTCATTGTGAGAGGGATGCGACCTTCCCAGGTATTCCGCGAGTTCCTTCAGCATGGTGTCGATTAGGCCCAGCTCAGGGACTGCAGTGGCGGCGTCCTTGGCTGCCAGCGCCTCTCTGCACGACAAGGGAGGGTAACAGGGAGGGAAGGGGAGGTGGGTTTGAGGAGGGAGGCATTGCCTCGACTGTTTCCGCGGGCCGTTGCTGTCCGTCCACGAGGAGACTATGGAGCAGAGCATCGTCACGTCTGGAGCGGGGGGAGGGGGGGGGGGGGGAGGGGGGAAACAAAATGGGTGGGGAATGGCATTAGCTGGTGATCATGTGAGCACCTGCTTGCCTTGTTGTTCCTGCGCAACGTGATGGGCATTCAGATGCAACACACATAGGCAATGAGTGTTACTCACCGATGTGCAATGCAATGGCTGGAGAAGAGGTGCGGGACCCGTACACGCAGCCGAGCCACCAGCCCGTTTGTGCTACCCATCATCGCACCTGCGCCATCCGTGCTAATCCCGGCCACCCTGCTTTTGTCAACACCAAGTGAGTCAAGGAGTGTCAGCAACAGGGAAAGTAACGAAGCGCCATCGCATTGCTCCACCGTCAGTAGCCCGATGTACTCCGTGATTACACGAGAGTCCCGTAGAAACGTGGCAAACACGATCTGGTGTTTGCCACGCACACGATCCGTACTCTCGTCACAGGTTACTCCAATAAAAGGACTAGACTGCAACCAGACGTCCTGACGAGCATGCAGATATGTGGCAGTGCTTGCGATGAGCTCGGCAAACCCGTATCTGCATCCAACAGAAGAAGGTAGTGTGGTTAGCAATGGTGTGGAAGTCGTGAGCATTTTCCACAATAACGATTCCTAGTAGAGCATCGACTATTGATCAACGGCTCACCTGGTGTAATAAGCACCGTAGCCATTCTCGGGGAAGCCCGGTGTTTGCCGCTCTGCTAGGTGCCGCACCAGTTGAACCCACATCTCAATCGGTGCGTCACATTTGCATATGAATAGCAGGGTCTCCAGCAGCGCGATGACTCTTTCACGCTGGATATCCCTAGCCTTTGGGCAGTCCGTGATGCGCTGCTGCTTCTCAGCCGCCTGCTCTGCCAGGGCATGTCTCTTGACGGACCGTTTGTGCTTCATGGAACTTTGATGCGTGCGGAATGCCTGGGTTTGGACATCGACGGCACCTTTGTTATGTGATGCTATCATTTGCATTCACGTCTGTCTGCCTCCCATCATATGTTCGTGTGTTGCATGCGTGGTGTGAGCGTGTGCAAGAATTTGTGTTTGGTGTTGTTTGGATTTTCTGAGTGTGTGTGTGTGTGAATGTTATTTGGCTTGAACAGATATCTGAAGTGACTCCTCTGCTCAAGAGCTTCCCGACGAACCGAGAATCGCTGCGATCGAAGCAAGAACGAGAAAGATATGATCGTTCGAAGTTTTGATTGAGATGCGGCGACTATAGGAAATTGCGGGTTGACTCAATATGGGGTACAGACTTTTGGGGGTTGGGAAATTCGATACCATCACTGTAGATGATGCCAAGTGGTTGGGAGAAGCCAAACCAGGTTGGCAAGTGTGGCCAAGTTGGGTGAGGTGGATGGCATGAGTTGGGAAAGTGACAAATGTCAAAGTTGGGGTGCCTATAGAGAGGGGAATTGTGTGGAATGGGGTTTCCTTGGTTGGGGACTCCCTTGGGACCTTCCCTCTCGTCCTCCTCATCCCCTCCTACCTGGTTCTATTGCTACTCTAACTTTCTTGTGTGAACTTGCGAGATAATTGTGATTGAGTTACGTTTTCTATGGCAGCATACCCCCTAGTGCGCCGAAGTTCATAACTCGAGTTATACTCCATATTTTGATACTATTCAAATTGAGAAAGATAGCCACAGTCAAGGGCTACAACATACTCGAGTTTGAGAGAATTCTAACTGTGCGTTAATCGTTGACGACGTTTCTTGTGACGACGACTTTTCTGTCCAGAATTGTAGTTGACGATTTTGAGATATTTCAGCCCCTAATCTTCAAAGACTCCGTCCTTCGTCTCTAACAACCTTCGCCAGCAGCGCCATAGTTTGTGCCGTGTCTTGCGTGCACCATACACAAACTGCACCTCATTGAAGGGAAACCGAAGGAGGTTTGACAAAGCACGGGCCACGGGAAATCAGTTGACCATTCCCGTTTGTACTTCATAAGCGACTCCTGGTATTTCTCTTCTGCCTCATCAGACAGTTCCTCAGTAGACGAGGATGTTGCAGGAACGGCAGATGGTCCTGGTACTACTGGCTATATGCGGATGCGTACGGTAGGTTCCGTAGGACTATTGCGAGAGAAAGACAAGCGCGACTGTTTGTGCTTGGTCACTTTTAACTTAGCATTAGCGGCAGGGCCGATCCGTGTTGCACCAGGTCGTAAAACACAGGTGGGGATTGTACTAGCACGGGGTGGTATTACTGCTTGAGTTGGAGATGAACCAGCAGTGGGTGAAACTACCGGTAAGGTGGTCACGGTATGGGCACTTCGCAAGAAGTCTAATCCTGTCAAACCCTGTGGTCGACTAGCCGATGATACTGGCGCCGCGACATTGTCCTCGTTGGCCATTACTAGTGCGAGTGAGCCAGCCGAGCTTCACTTGTGTTGCTACTCTAACAGCAACACTGGAAGGAGGCTCAACATCAGAGAGTCACCCACCTAGTGCATGCATGGCACACGACACGACGAGATGGGATTGTTCCCTGTTTTCCCCATCTGATGGGTTTGGTTGGTGCATTGGGCAGGGTCGGAAGTGCAAGGGGATTGCGAAGGCGGGACAAATACACGGGGAAAGCAATCCGCGGCGGAAAATTTTACGGGGAAAAAATTCCCGGGAAACGGTAACCCCCCTCCCCCCCCGAAAAAAAAAAATCGTCACGGCAAGCCTCGACATTCATCCTGACGCTACAGGGAAGTACACCACAACCATCCTGATTTTCCAGGGCATTGCATATAAAAACATCCTGAGAGCTCAGGGTTAAAAGTGACACTATTCTGAAATTACAGGGCAAAATCATAGATGCATCCTGAATTCAGGGTAATCAGGATGTTTTGCCCTGATATCGTGGGGCCTGCTTTTGTTGGAAACAAAGTAAGATAAACGCTTCTGAAGCATCGAAGTGTCGACACGAATAGGAGCAGACTACAGCGAAGAAACACACGAGTCAACAAAGCAACCGCTGGAGGTTACGCGAAGGTCGAAGGTCGCTGACCTTTGACCTGACGAAAACTACAGTGTGACAGCAAGGACACATAACTGACTCGTTACGGAGCAGTTACCCGAGTCGGCACTGTATCGAACCGCAACAGCAAAAACAGTTAAAGTAGAACTTTTCATATTCCTTGTAATCATATAAAAAGGTTGTATCTCTTTGTTATTATCAACTTATCTTGTTCTCACACACCAGTACAAGGTGGTTCAAACAACTCTTATATTAACGCTTCCGCAATTACAACATCTCTACTTCAACACTTGATCTTAGCCTTGAAAGATCCTAAGGGCTTTTCTCAGCCCAACATGGTATGAGAGCAGGCAGGGCAAGATCATTTTCTTAAATACCGCAAGACATGGCAACACAGAAGGAGAGAAGCTCCTCTAACGAATCTCTCGGCACTACTCCTACTCCACCTCCAGCCTCTGGCCTACAGACAGAAGAAGGCACAGCTACAAGACCAGCTGCGGAGTCAACGGAAACTCCCGGGAACCAAGCAGCAAGCTTCGACCCAAGTATGATGGAGAAATTCTTCTCCTTTATGTCCTTCTACGAGGAACACCAGCAAGCAACTCCTGCACAATCAAACAACAGTGACAACAACAACAACAGAGCAACACCAATGAGCCTCGACGGTTCATCCTATGCGCGTGGAAATCAACAACAACCCACCTTTGCCCCGTACGAGCCTCAACGCGGCTCCATCAGTTTCGCGCCGCAACCGCAGTCTTTACCTGGACAAGAAAGGACACTGGACGTGCTTCAGGTGCAATCGCATTTTGCACACGTTCTAAAACTGCAAACGTCAACGCTTTTCGACGGAAAGGACTTTTATACCTGGTCATTTGAATTTGAGCTGATGATGGAGGGCGCGCAAATTCTCGGATTCTTCGACGGGTCTCTGCCATATCCAGCACACGGGACGCAGTATGACAAGCAGCAGTATACGTATCAGTGGCTGATGGCGTACACGATACTCCTTCGAAATTTAACGCCAAACGAGCAGCAAAACATTCGGTCTTATCGAGGATACGGCAACTCCGCCGAGCTGGCGTACGACCACCTGAAGAGCTTGTATCAAGCAACAGACAGTGTTAATCAGAGTTGTCTCATGGCACAATTGACAACAGTGGAAATGAAACCCGGCGAAAAGGGAATGGCTTATATTAGCCGTTGTCGCGGATTGCGCGACAGACTCCTTCGATGCGGAGGATCAATATCCGAAGAAGCTTTTGTAACAGTCATCATCGCTGGTCTTGGTCCTCATTGGCGCTCCACTCGAGCACTCCTTCGAGCTCACGGGAAGATATCCGAAGCAGCACTCTGCGCCGAAATTCACGCTGAACAGCAGGATATGGACCTGCACGAAGAACGACACAAGAAGAAAGCGTCAGTACCAGAATTCGCCTTTCACACTCAACGACGCTACAACAACAACAACAACCGACAAGTACAACAGTACGTCCCACCGTTCTGTCATCTTTGCAAGACGTCCGGACATCTGCGCACACACTGCCCGAATCAGCAGCAGTCGACAACACCGCAACGTCAACTTCGGCCTTCAAGCAGTCAAGTAGCTTCTACGCAGGCGCATCCCACCAGTCAAGTACAGCCTTCAAAATCTTCAACAACACAACTTGCACAAGGAACAAGAAACATTGTAAGCTGCATGACAAGAACGACAGACTCCTGCATCACCGGATCACCACCCCACTACTCACCAAAAGAACAGCTCGATGAGAGGACTCCTCGCCGCGAATCACTGGAGCCCAATCCGACGTATGCAGCCATCGCCCAGAGCGAGACGTCCTGGCAAGATACTTGGTTCTTGGACAGTTGCTGCGGACAGCACATGTGCTCCTTGAGTCGCTTCGTTCAACAAGAACATCAACTTCAGCGCGAAGTTGTCATCACCGTGGCCAACAACCAGAACCTGCACACACGACGACAAGGGATAGTACAACTCCAGTCTCGAGAAACTAACGTCATCTTACAAATGTCTAAAGTTTTGATTGCAGAAGGACTCGGCTACAACCTAATAAGCGTCAGCCAACGGATGGCGAAGGGTATTCATCTTGAAGCAGACAGCACCACTCAGGAATTCAAGCTATTCCACGGTAAAGGAGGACTCTACATCGGCAGAGCAGTCTTAAAGAACAACGTCTTCGTTCTTTATTCTGTACCGGACCAAGGAACCGCCGACAGCGACACCATCGTCAACTTCGCTTCTTGGACACATCCACCGGATCTCGATCCCAACTTCAGCCCTGGAGGATTCTGGTATTCACATACCATACCTGAAGCAGAAAGAACACGGGAATTAGCAACAATCCGGCAAGAAGAAACAACATCGACAACAGCAGAGACAACATCGGCAACAACAGCAACACTTACAGCACCACTCGCGAGCTCTTCGACGGCACCAACAATCATCGACAATACCCCACCGACTCCTGCGCAACAGCTGGCTCCCACTCCACGTGAAGTTCACAGAAGCACCAACTTCAACGCAGGCTTTTACTCCAAATCCGACCTATACAGACGCTCACCCGGACATCGTGCGAGCGAATCCATGTGGCACGAAAGACTGGGTCACCCAAGCAACACCACGTTAAACAATACAATCAAGGCAGCAGTGCTCGACAAAGATTCACTCCTTCTACCCGACGGCAGAGAACTCCAATGAGTCCGCGGAACATGCTTTACCTATCCCGAAGCCGACTTACCTCATCAACCGTTCGTCTCTCACCACAATCCAAGCACTCCAGCCTATGCACCACTCGAGAAAGTATACAGCGACATCCTGTATACTCGCGAACAAAGACAATGAGCATATAATTACGTAATTACTTTCATCGACGCCGCCACCCGATACGTCTGGCACCTCAACCTTCCA